GCCATGCGTTGCACACGCGCGCACGACCTTTCGCATTCATTATTACAATTCGCATGGTGAGGGTCCCCTTTCAAAATCAACCAAACAGCGAAACGGCATGCTTTTCCAACTGCTTTCCCCTGGCTGCAAAGACCTGAAAGAAGCGCCAGAAAGAAAGTGGGAAGCAATATCTTTGCCATGGCGCGCTTGGAAATTTCCCCAGACGTGAGAGGCCTCCCAAATGGGCGATTGACTGCTTCTGGCTTCCTTGTTTCAAGCCGGTGCTGGTTTCAGCCGGCCCCTGCGGCCACCTGGAAATGGGGATGCCCAAATTCTTACAACGAGCTGTGGGAACCAAGGGACAGTCTTTGGGCGTTGACTTTGGGAAACTCCGGAAGAAAGGAAGCAACCCCACTGGACATCTGGGAAGGAAAATCACAGTTCAAGACGCAACATAAGGAGCTAGACATTTAGAATCGGGGGTTGGGGTACCATATGTGTTTTTTCTTTTGTTTTTTGTTGTTGTTTTTGGCGGCGTGACCATGGGAACATCCTCGTATCAAGGGAGAAATGCCACCTGCGGCGACCATTCAGAAGGCCAGGTGCCTCATTGCAGTCCAGAAATCAACCTCTTTATTTTGATTGGGGGGGTGTTCAAGAGCGTTTCCAGGTAAGGTATCGGTGGTATATAAGCATACATACCTCCAAAACCCCTATCCCTGAAAAATTCCCTGCTGGTGTCCCATTGAAGCTAGGAATCGGATCGCGGGGGCAACACACCCCTAACAATCCGCCAGGTTGATTAATCTGGACATGATTGACCTTGGTTGCTGGGAGCGAAATATAAGAGGTCTCCCACCAGTTGAGATGGATGAAACCGAACTTGAAAACTGGGATAAACCACTTGCCAACCGAAGCAGGATTCAGCCCATCCACAGTACCACTTGTCACCCGTGATGTTTCTGTTTTACTGGGCAACTAAGAGCTCACGGCAAATGTTACCCCCCCCCCCCCCCCGGCACCCCCTCCGCCAGGTACCTTTCCAGCATCAAGGGCAGAGATGTAAGGCCATGAGGCTAAGGCTCAAGCCTTACAGCCGTGGGCCATACTTCGGGGATCTGCCTGTGCATCGTCCAAAAACAGGGGGCCCGAGTATGGTACTTCACAACAAACTGATGCCATGAACACTGTCCAAACCCATCCAAGACAGGAATCCTGAAAAGATTGGCCTCATGGAGCCTCCGGACTCGCAACTCTTTTGCTCGTGGAATCACGGGTCTCCGCCGATCGGAGGAGTTTGCGACCGAGTTCTCGCCCTTTCAGGGAGAGAAAGGGTGGCGTTCTTGCGAAGCTGCTCACCTTAGCTACCAAAGGAACTCACCTTACATGGGCCAAAGTCACCAACATGGGAAACGCAACCTGTGTTCCAAACTGACATCATCATGCTACCACGGGACACCCACCTAGAGCGCCGGGGATTGTCCTTAGTTGTTAAAGGGTGGTTCAACTGGTATACGGGGAAACCAGTCACTGGGGGTTGCTTTTAAGGTGCGCCAGCACGGTCCTTTATTTGGGGGTCGCCCCAAAAGGGGGCGACAAAATAAAGAAGGTCCGAATCTCTCCCGCTTTCAACAATGGAGGTGGACATGTGCGGCTTCCAAAAGGAAAGTGGCGTCCAAAACCCGCCTGTCAGCTTCTATGATTGGGGGGAGCAAATGTCTGGATTCGCCAATCGAAAAGTTTGACTGTAAACCTGCTCGGCGAGCATCTTATAATCAGGGAGTGATTCAAAAGGGGGGAACCTGAAACGCACCCACGTGTCAGCTCTCAACATGTCAAAGGGATGGGCTGCTGATGCGCTGTAAGTGACTTGATGGCTGCTCCTTGCTACATAGAGCAAGCCGAAGTGCTCGGTGCTTGGCCGGGCGTCGATTTCTGGATCTGAACACGTGAGTCGAGTCGGTGAAATGGAAAGCTCCAGGGAAGCCAGTTCCGTTTCCCTGGTGGTGTAGCCAATGGAACACTTGAAAGAGGCATTGGTGCCAAAGCCCAAACCATCGACGTGCTCCGGCCGGCGCTCGGGAGCGTGCGGCGTGAAAACTTGCGTCTGCGGCGCATTGAAACAAAGCCGAGGAACCAGACACGGGAAAGCGGCCCTCCCTTGAAATGTGACTCAAACTGGGGAGCCCCATGAGCTTTGACACCTCAAAAAGGGGATCATTCGGGGGTGTTGTTTTTTAGGGAACCCCTTTCTGGGTGGCTTGAAGGGAAACCAAGAGGACAACCACCATTTGGGGAGATCCTCAGAAAAGACACACCCAGTAAACACAAGTAAACTCAGGCGGTCACCAAGAGCAACCCCGGGAATTCTGGAACCCTTCCGATCCGCTGTGAACCACATCGGAGCTTGGGCAAACGCCTGTTGAGAAAAAACACACAGAGACAACGACTTGGATGGTCCGGGACTTAGCTAACTGGTTGCTAACCACATGGTTTTACAAAAACCACACACAACAGTTGACAATACCCAAAGTGGGTAATAACCAGGGTTACTATTTGAGTGGTCGCAGGTTCGTAGGTGCTTAGCCACCTGGGTTGTAACTAACAACTGCCTGGCGAGGCTAAGTGGCTTGTAGGCTGCTAACCACTTACCAACTACTTGGCCGAACACCTAAGCAACAGCGTCGCGCTTCGTCCTGGACCCCCAAAGTAAATTTGCACCGACGACACGGGGGTCTCTCACGGGAACAGGGGAACGGGAATTCCCAGGTACCAACCCTACATGAAAAAGGGAAGATTTTTTTGTTGTCTCCGGGGTGTCCCTTTGAGCGACCACCGACAGCCGGGTTCCAAAACACACCCGCTCGGAATCACTGAAGCTTGACACTTGTTGAAATACACCAGGGTAGAAGTGGATGGCACAATTTCAAACATATTTCTGTGCACAAATAGTCCCATCCACTTGTGGGGCCCCCTTACCAACCAGAATGGCTTTCAGAGCCCTTGGAACCCCAAAGAAGATATATATATATACATGTGTGGAGCACAAAAGGGACCAAAGATATACATATGCCTATGTATACATATATGTATATATATATACATGTATATGGTGTATGTACCTACGAGGGATACACAACGGGAGAGCCGCCCAACAGATTCTAGAAACAAGCGCGGCGTTTGGCTCGCGGCATCTCGCGGCCATGGCCGGAGCCGGACTCCCGGCAAGCGGCAAATCCCGGGAGTGGCCCACATTCCGTGCACAGAAACAGTAAGATGTTCAAATGTGTCTTTCGTGTTCCCACCTTATTCTTTAAAAACAAAAAGCTTTTGAGGAGATCTGAATGCACCACCGGTACCCCAGCGGGATGGCGAACCCGCCGGGCTCAGTTCGGCGGGCTCGGAGCTAGGAGCTCGGAGCTCGGCGCGGGAAAGGAACGCCGGGCCAGACTCTGAAACTCATCTTCTCTCACCGTTACCCCGCAGGACATTGGTGATAAGCATAATTTAAGCATCCTGGGAAGTTGCTTGTTCTTTTTTTTCCCCCGTGCTGTTGTGGGGCGGGGGTGAAATGGTGCTGCTTCTACCAACAAAAACGGTAGTGACCCTGCAAAACAAGAATTGGAACCCGTTTTGGTGCTTGATTCTGCCTGCAATGACTTGCGATCCCCTTCTGGGCAATAGGACTTTCAAAGGCAACAGCAGTTTTTGTTTGTTTTGAGCCCAAGAGGGCCCTGATTAATCGCGGGGGAGGGTTCTGTTCATGAGGGGGCTGGCCAGCTTGAATACCTTGTCATGTTAAACAACATTTAATAAAGAAAAATGCATTTTGGGGGAGGATATGTTTGGGGAAAACTTGAGGGGTTCAATAGTGACTTAGTATTGGTGGGTTTAAGGACAGACTAAGCAACTACTAAGCAAAAAGGAAAGCCCCTTTTGTGGCAGGTTGTTTTGGCTTCGGGGCTGCAGGAGGTTTTCTTTAATTGGGGGGGGGGGGGGGGGGTGTTGATGAGACACGGAAATATATTGAGTAAGGTTTTTTGGGCAAACCAAGTTGGCCCTTTACTTTAGTTTTGGTGGGAATCTGGGAGGGAAAAGGGGAAACCTTTCATCGGGGGGTTTACAAATTGTACAAAAGGTATACCCACATCCATGTGGCTAATGAAAAGGGCACATGTCAAACCTGTGTTAACGTTTTATGGGGGTTCCCCTGGATCAAAAACACAGGTGTGAAGCCCACTTTTCCATCACAGCCATGGTTGAAGGAAGCCTCACAGAACCATTTTTGGGGTGTCCCGCTGTTGGTTCCAGGCATGCCACTATGGCTAACCAGGGTAAAGCATCATACAACTAGAGGTATCAAACCCTGGTCTGCCATGGCGTTAAGTGGGACTGGGGTAGATAAACGACAGCCTTGAACCATCCCTTGACTTTTTTCCTAGCTCCGAAACAAGTCATGCTCAAAGTCCACAACAAACTCCCCGCTGAGGACCAGCACAATAGAGACAGACATCATGATCGTGGGTGCCAACACACTATTTTTCAGTGCGGTTGCCATTGAATTCGCAACCTCTGTAGGATGTGGTCAAACCCGAAAATTGGAGAATCGGTCAGTTTCCTTGATGTTGAAATGCCCCCCTTACCCAGGACTACTTTGCCACTTTGCAAGGGGATCGCAGAAGCGATCCTACAATGGAGAAAGCCCGAACTGTGTGCCTCTAAACTGCTCCAAAACCGAGTTGCTCAGTGAGTTGTGGGCCCCCGAAAATGCATTTCCTGTTGGTTTCCTTTTGAAAACCAGCAGAAAGAAAGTTCACCATTGACACAAATGGGCTACCTTAGCTGAGTTTGCCAAAAGTCAACACAGCTTCACCCGGAGGTAACCACTGCTTGGGTGTTCAAGAGACTTGGCAGGCATGACCATGACAAGGGGAACTCGAGTTACCCCGGTCGAAAAGGTTGTAACCTTGCAAGCATTCTCAAGGTTCTACCAATAACCAATGGATGGTTGCTGCTACCCCCCCCCCCCCAAACGACGGCCCGTAGGACGCTTCAGCGGATTCCTGCGGTCACTTCAGCAGCGTAGCGAGCGCATGGGGCCGAAGGAGCCCTCCGAGCCCAAGTTCTTGGTGGCCTGCGGTTGCCGGGGGGCCGACCATCAGCTTGAAGTGGTTCGCTTGGGAGCGCCGTGGTTTGCTTGAGAGCCCGGTGGTTTGGTGGCTCTTGGTGTTCCGGAGGTGGGAAACCCCATTTGCCCTCCACAAGAAGGGTGTGACCTGATACCAAGCCTACCAAGCCTACTCCTCTGAAGCTGCTGATTGCTTCCTCCAAAAGGGGGAATACAAGAAGCCCGGAGAACAAACGAGGCGGGAGTTCGTAAAAAAAATAAAAATAAAAAATGTTTAGGAAATGCTCAGAGGGGCTTGAAACCTGCTAAAGCTACGGTGTTGAAATCTCCAAATGTCCCAGCCAGTCGCAGGCTGTGGATGGACAAAGCCACTCGGCAGTAGTAACTTGTTTATCCGGGGCTTCAATCCAGAGCATTTGTGCTCATAACCACACCCACTCCGTATTTGCTTCCTATCCTGCTTCACAGCCATCAGAGCAGCTATTACAACCTAGTGACTCTGTGGAAGGCAAATGCTCCCAACCCCCGGTTTCCTTTCAGGTTCCCTGGGTGGTTTTGAGTGTAAACCCCAGATTCATCAACCCCAGTCCATGGGGTGATGCCTGGCGGGGGCCCCTCCAAAGGTGATCATTCCCAAAGCAAAACCCAAGGACACCCCCCATGGCCCTTCCTGTCGCGGCGTAAAGGGGCAGTGAGAGAACATGGCGAAATCCGACGCCTCTCAGCCAAACCCAGAAATACCTGTGGGCGTGATTGATATGCATTTATGTATGCGCGTATGTATGTATGTGTATTCATGTATGTGTATGCGTATGTGTATATATATATATATATATCATGAGCCACGCTCAAATTGACTTCCTCAACTGGACATTCTGGAAAAAATGTGACTCCACTGGCTTTCGTGGTTGAAATTGAATTCCAGTTCCCACATGTCCGAACCTCGGTTGACATGCAGTTTCCATCGCCTTTAGGTCCTTGGTTTTGCAGGTTGATGTGGGTTTCTGGTTTTTGGTCCCTCCGCACCACAAACCTGGGCCCCCTTTGGGCATTTAACGGGAAACCAAAACGAAACCAACCATTTTCGGCTTGTTTTGAGAAACACCGCATCGGAGAGTGGTTTTGAGGGTACCCTTTTCAGGTTAGTTTGAAGAGAAACCAACCGGAAAACCGCAATTTTGGATGTTGGGCCTATTTCGACACATCCGCAGTGCGAACGGTTCGGCCTGCAAGAGTGCCATCTGGTGCTTGGAACGGGTCAAGAAGGCCTTGCCCCGCCGGTCCTCGCGAGGAAATCGAAGCCGTGTGGCGAAGCGAAGCCGAGAATCGCGCGTTCCGCAAGCAACAATCAGTTAGCAATGGGTACAGCACATTGAAGACTTTTCAGGGAATGGCTGGGCAATTGGGGTTTCATGGGCAAACTGATGGCTACTAGCTACATACTTGCTCCCCTGCAACATGTTGACGAAGCAAAAGAAGCAAACAACCCCCACGCTATGAAAAGAGAGTGTTCCCTGCGAATCAAGCAAGGTGAATTCATCCGGGATTCCCGTTCACATGGAACCCAAACAATGGGCCCCCAAGAAACTGGCTGTCCTCCCGAAAGGGATTTTTGGGTTGCAAGGGTTTGGCTGAAATCCTGCGAGCCTCCGGAGAATATGGGAAAATTGGGCGATCTCCTAGTTGTGCGGTTGAAATTTGTTTTAGAGCCCACAGCACCTGCCAAATACTGGGTGCCAAAAATGGAAAACTGGAAAATAACAAATACTGGCCACCTGGTGGTTGAAACCTGAGAGCAAGAAAAGCGAGACACGTCGGTTGGCTTAAATCACAAAGCGCCTGTCAAGTACTGGGTGCTGAAGGGTGATAAATGTCCAAATGATCCATCCTTGAAAACCTGTCCGAAAGTCCTAAAGCACCTGTCAACAAAAAGTGAATGAAAAATGGGACGCTTGCAAATCAACAGCCCCGAAACGGAAAGACATACCAAAGCATCATGAGCATTTCTCAGAATGGAACTCGGATCCCGGCTTTTGAGAGGAGTCCAACAAAACAACACAACCATCTTCGAAGACCCCCGAAAGACGTTCGATTCTGTGGCACCCGGGGCTTCGTTTGTTTGGCGAGCCGCGGAGTGGGGGATGATGGCTGCATCTTCCAAGGCCACGAGGAGCTGGAGCAAAGCATCGGAGAGATGGTGCACCTCTCAGATCCAGGGTGCGTCGTTTGGGCAAACGCTCTCTTGGTTCTAGGGGCTGATTCCTTTTCCATTCTTTTCAGCCATCGTTCTTTTCAAAAACCGGCCATGTCCCCAGCCTGGAAAGAATGCGGTCTTCTTCTAGGGCTTGATTCCAACCATTCTTTTCAAGCATCGTTCTTTTCAAAAAGCCGGCCGTTTTGCCTGGGTTTGTTGAGGACTTTTAGAAAGAAGGATCCCTGGAAAGAATGGGGAAGGTACCCCTAGACTCCTTTTGGGCAAACGCGCTCTTGGTCGGTTTTAAGGGAAAGCCAAAATGAAACCCTGGCATTCTTGGCGGGGGTCCTCCAAAAACCACACACCCGTTTGCTATGTGTTGAAACAGGGACTTGGACCCCCAAAATGGGTGAGTTTCTGTTTGACTTCCCCTCAACCTGAAAAGGGTAGAGCAGGATTCGCCGTGGTCGCTTTCTTACAAAGGGGTACAGAACGTCATTTCAGCTTCGGCGTAGTTCGTGTGCCCTGAAAAGTGAACCCGAGGGCGTCGGCCCCGAAAACCACGGAGGGCCACAAAGCGATCGAGAGAGTTGGCCCATTCTCCGGGCTGTCGGAATCCCCTGTTTCAGCGAAAAGAGAGTCATAGGGATGGAAATCGATTTTGTAATGAGTATCACAGACTTGTTCACCCAAAAAATGATGGTGATGATGATGATGATGATGATGATGATGATGATGATGATGATGATGATGATGATGATGATGATGATGATGATGATCATCATGATGATGATGATTACTGGGCGAAATGTCCCACAAAGTTGTCAAGGCTCACAACTCCCTAAGCCTTCAAAAAAAGAGCTCGCCCGGTCGCCAGTTTTCGCAGGTTGATCTGGGGGGTTGACCCGCGTCCAAACAAACCTGCAAAGGCAAAGGAGAATGCCAAAATAACCCGACATCCAAACCAACGGGTTGAGAATCAAGGGGCTTACCTCCAAAATGAAAATCCCGCGATTGCGAGAAAACCAATCCACAGGACAGGACTATAGGCTAGAGGGTTTAGAGCTTGAAAGGGGTGCCAGTCGAACCGGCCAGGCCTCAGTCTGCAGGCAGATCTGGTCGATGGCTCGTGCTGGGCCCTTGCACCGCATGATGCCTCGCGCTTCGGGCGGATCCGGCTTGCCCCAATGGTCACGATTGTGGCGAATCAGTTGGATGGCCAAACGAGGTGCACAACCCCTCTTGAAAGACTTCGGGGGTTCCCGAAATATTGCCCTCATCCGAGCTGCAAGGGGAGTCAGAAGGCAAATGCTGTTGGATGGCTGGAACTCACGGTGTACCGGGGTGTCTAGAGTGAAAGTACCTTACCTTTCAAAGAGAACCCTGATCCTTCAAAATGGACTTGATCCGATTTCAAGGGTCCCTGCCCAAAACGTTTAGTCGGTTTCTGAAGCTCAAGGTCTGGATTCTCCCTTGGACCATGGGAGGGTTCTGGGGGCTGACCCGGAAGCGTTGCAGAGGTCTAAGGGCTGGATGAGTACCTTAGGTACCAAATTTACATAGCTGTTACACAGGAAAGCAGGTAGGAACCGAAGCCAGGAGTTAAACGGCAATTTTTGGCTTTGGAATCGGTTTTCAGGCTCCGTTCTGCAGGAGGCAGGTGACAATTGGTCTTGCCACCAGTTGAGGTCACACCCTAGCAAACAAAGCATCCACGTGATGTGTCCCTCACGAGAAGAACCTAAAAAACTGGGATGTGTCCTTGAGATCTCATCTGCTTCCCATGTTTCCCCAGCTAAAAGCTCTAGCCCCTGCCTGGATAGGCTCCCGAGTCGCGTGGTTCGGAGCGGTTCCGTACTAGGGTTCCAGGCTTCTAGAAGTGTTGTTGGGGATACCACCGGGGCTTGTTTCTCCACCGGGGTTTGTTTCCCACGGACTAGCGAAATAAGTTTGAAGAACCTGCTAACTCCTGCATGCCATCCCTCGCACAAAAAATACGTGAACGTCGGTTCAGGATGTTGCAGGGTCGGCAAATCCAGAACACGGGTCATGGCCATCCACCATAGGAAAAAGAAGTATCTTCTCGTTTTTGGTGCTTGATTTTAAAGGGACACCTCCAAAACAGACAAACAGGCACTGGGGCAAAAATAGACTAGGGGTCATTCAAGGATGCATCCAACACCCTGCTCTGTAAGGCAGCTGGCACGGAGGTATCCTTTTTGGGACCTGATTCGGCTAGCCCCTCCTTTCAACATGCCTAAACAGCTATTGTTTGGACAACCTCCTTGTTGTTTCTCAACAAGCCAAATACGGTCTGACTATTCAAAAAGAGGCCGCAACTCCTGGAATATGTCCAACACCTGAATTCAGGGATCCCCGAGTAAAGGACTTACATCATGGCCAACGCTCAGCCTTAAATCTAGGATTCAAAAATCGTTGCGTCCATCATCACTTTACTAAAGAGCCAAGATATAAGATGGGAGAACCAAAAGTTGAGCTCATGTCACTCTCAAGTGAGATCGCCATAAAATCGCCAAATGATTCCTGGGTTCGTAGGGCTCTCTTGAGGAACTCCCTATGAAACTGTGCCAAAGCAGGGTGACCAAACAATGGCCGGGAGGTCCTTTTGGCTTCCCTTCAATCCAACCCCAAAACGGGTACTCTCAAAACCAGACCCATCTTTCCCTTTAAACATCACAGCAAAACGAAACTCACTTTAAACTGGCAACAAAAAGTTATTTACAAACACAAAAAGGTGAAACAGGTGGCATTCGCATTGTCATGACTACATTTATCACTTTGAAGATGGCTCCCTTGGTATCACAAGAAGTGGCAACCCAAAAAACAAACGTGAACCTGTTTGCTGACTTTAAACCTCAGGGTACCTTGAATCCCCCCCCCCCGACCCCCCACCCCACCCGAGTTCCTGGTTGCTAGAACCAAAAAAAGTTCCGCAACCACTTGGGTGTTCAACCAACTTGCCAAGTCGGATACAACCAAGGTTATAAGCCTAGTTATAACCATGGCTGCAACCTACTTACCTGAGGTTGGTTGAGCACCCAAGGGCCGCTTTCCCTTCTTCCCGCCTGCAATGAAGTCCTGGTAGGTGATCTCCCCGTCATCGTTCTGCAACAGTCGGAAGAGCGCCTGATGAGTCCGGCTTTTTCAGAGCAAAAAAACGGCACCTTGTTCTTGGCCCGACTCAGGGAAGCACTAAACATATTGCTTGTTGGTTCTGCTACAGATTTAGTTCTTCAAATGTGAAATATCTTCCTAGTTTTGGGGGTTGGCTCAAGGGATATTCAAGGGGACGCCAAGCAGTCGAAAGCTCCCATGGGAAACCACCCCCCATTCTGTGGGTCTCCCCTGTCTTCTTTGGAGTTGGCCTTCTTTTTGATTTTCCCAGCAGCTGTCCAGCGATCTGACTCCGTCAATCCGCGAAAAGGAGTGCTCCTGAAAGGTCCTGGAGCTTTGCCCGAGGCCTGCTCCTGTCATCGTTGGAATCCCAACACTACTATCTGCTATAGTACCTGGGTGTTCAACCAACTCGCTTGGTGGACATCATGCTTGTGAGGATTTGTGCAACCAACCAATACAGAGGGCATTCCAAAAAAAGACGTATAGTGGGTAACAATGAAGTTAGGATATCGCATATTTGGAGATGTTTCAGGAAATGAGTGGGCCACAATTGGGGATCCATGTGCCCACTGATGATGAGGACCATACAGGGGTGGAAGCGAAGTACCCATGCTAGGTCCTCTCATTTGCCAAGTATGCGGTATGAGTCGAAATATGGGCAACCCCAAAATGAGCGGCTGTCCCTTCGGTTTCCCTCTTTACAACAGCCCCAAAAAGGGTTCCGAGCCTCAAAAACTCACGCGCAGTTGTGTCTTCATTCTGCAAAGCGGAACTCCCAGCCGCGAAGCACGCCAAAGTGAACCCAACCCAAAGTCAGCAGACGCCTGGCCTCGCCCTCCGCCACGTCCAGGTCAAGGCTAGAGAGGTAGGCCTGCACTCCTCGGATTTGATTCCGATTTGAGGCTTGGAGGAGGGCGTGTCTTTCTTGCAGGGGACCCCACAAAAAATGGCGTCCCTGATGGTGTCCTGTTAAAACCATGCAAAAAGGGGTACCCTCAAAAAGAGACACACCCTTATTATTTATTCCATGCAAGGCGTGCTAGTTCGTGCTTGAACCACTCGATGTTCCTCAAGGGAAAAAGTCCATGAGAGTCCTTCACATTGAAGTTTGGCCGAAAACACGGCGGATTCCTGAAACCGGGGTCTTATTGTAAGGTAGACCAAATATGCAACAGAGTCACAAAGTGTTGTTCTCTGTGTACCTCAGATGTGGGTTAAGGAAACATGCAAGCGGATCATGCGCAACCACGAAGCCTTGGTAAGTTGCGGTTGCCAGGCATTCCCTTGTTCCCTCGCAATATCAAGAGCAAGGGCATCCACCATAGCACTGGAGTTCGCCGGTTTCAGTTCAGGTTTCACTTACCAGTGAAATATATCTATCTACAGATATATATATATATATATATGTATATTTATAGATGAATGTATGTGTATATATATATAAACATGTTGTGTGTGTGTGTGTGTCCACAAGGGCACCATCATCAATAGACGAAATGAACGCTCCACACGCTTCCGGCAGCCTCGAGGCCCACCTTTCCAATGTCTAAATGAGTGAGGCTTTACCTGGAGCCCCAAAGGACCCACCGGGAATCTGAGAGTCAGTCTTGGCAATCCTAAACTGGCAATACTACACCAAGCACATGGGATCTTTGAGGGTTCGATTTATAAAAAAAAAAAGAGAGACACCCCCAAATGCCTCGAAGTCATGTATCGGAAGGTTTGATAGTCACATTGGATCCCATCCGTTCCAGGGCTATCCAGCTTTACCCGTTTCAAAAGGGGATCAAAAGGCCCAGAAAAAGATGCCCACTGGCCGGGGGCTGGACCCTGCTCACCCAGCTGGCGTGTGTTTCTATCAAAGGCATTTTCAGGCGCGTTGAAGATGTGGAGGTTATACGCGACTCATATACGGGCATATACTGCCCATGGTTTGTTCAGCATCCATATCCCTACAGACCTGAAAATGCTCCTTCTGGAGAAGCAACTGGAAAACAGCACTGAGTTCAATCCTTTTGTCGACGTCAGTCGTCCGCTTCCTTTGTGCCCCAGGGGTAGCCCTTCGGACGCAATAAAACCCGCATGACGCGTTTCTTGTCTGTCAGGGGTGAGCTTGGGTGCGCGGCCAAATGAAGGCCGCCTGCTGGTGATTTGGGAAGATGTACCCAGACCCCACTGGAGGCCTGTTTGAAGATCGTAAAGGAAAGCCTCAAAGAGCAAAAAAAGGGACACACCCCACAGGTGAAGGAAGGGACCCAAAAAAAACACCTGACGCTCTGCCCCAAGGTGCTTGGAGCTCCATGGGCGGCTTTTTGAAAGCCCAGATTCTTCGGCAGATTCTTAGGACAAAAAGTCAAAATGACAAGGAACAACCCTCCGTTGCAGGGGTTTGGATCTCCATTTGAAGGTTTTGGACCTCAAGCAGGTGCCTCCTTGAGGTCCCGAGGATTTTGCAAAAACAAACCACAGCAGGGAAGTCAAACAGAACGCCATGATTGATGGGGACATCCAAAGGAAACCCACCTTGCATAGGGATCAAGCAGAACAGTTTTTGGCGTTCAGCGTCTTTCGTTCATCAGCCACTCGTTCATCTCCGCCTCGGAGAGGAGACCGTCGCCACTGTCATCCATGGCCATGAAGATGGCTTCCAACTTCGAGACCTACAGGGTTCCTTCAAGGATGAACAAAACCACCTGCTTTGCAAGGGAATGCCCTGGCAACCTGAAATAAAACTTGAATTGTTTGTCAGGATGCACGAGTACAGGACGGATATGGCACAAGAACCAAGCGCTTTCAATAAGCACGAGCGCACGCCCCCCGGCGTTGCCACCTTTTTTAGTTCTTTGGTACGGGGGAGGAGTTTGTCTTTCCTGAGCGTCAGCATGCTTGGGAAGTGAGCCCCTGTCTGCAAAGTTAAAAGAGTGCTCCGGTTGAGAGTCCTTGACTTTTGGGTAAGCACTGGTTGATAAATCCAGAGCCGACAGTATCCGAGAAAGCGGCGATCGAAAATCAAGATGATTTCTCGTCTTGGTATCTGATTCACAAATTGGCAAGAACCCCCAGAACCGCTCGTTCTCCCCTCCCCCCTGGGATGCGTGAGCTTGCCGAGTAATTTCCGCCAAGCTTTGCCAAGATCCCTCCTCACATTTGTTTCAGAAAAGGTGGAGTGCTTTTGACGGGGAAAAACAACGGAGAAAAGGGCTCACAATTCCCACAGGTCCAATTTGCCTTCTTCTTGCTTTCGGAAGCCGAGGCGCGTACATGGCCTTCTGCCGGATGCGCTCCTGCACAATGACCTCCGCGTCGTTGGAGGCAACCTCCAAAGTCTCCTGCAGAGAAGTCCCCACGGGGATAGCCCCCTGGACGTCCCGTGTTGACCCCGTTCGTCTGTTTTTTGCGCCGCATGTTTGTGGGACAAAGGCAAAAAAGGAATGGGGTCCGTTCAACGTCCACACCTAAAGAGGAAATCCAACAAAGAATGCCGATTCCAGGGAGTTCCTATCAATTTCCAACACTAGAGAGTAACCCCCCAGCGCTGTGGGGTTAGTGACATCATCAGGGCAGTCCTTGCGCCGCGTTTATGGGAGATGTGTAGTATCCAATATCATTCCAAGAGACAAGAATCCCCCTATTATTTGTTTGCCTCTTTATCAGCACCCCATCCAAAAACAAAAAACCTGCGAGATGCTTGCCTAAAAAGGCTTGGATTTCAGTCGGAAGACAAACACAAGAGCACTCCAAGGGAACGATGAAGGATAAAAACGAACGGCTCCTCACACTTGCCTTCGCACCCTGAAAGAACGCTCGGAAATACAACGTGTGGTTCCACCAAACCGGTCATCTGGCCTCATTCGGCCCCTTGCCTTTGTTGCGGGTTTTCCCAAAATTCGTGAAGCTTCCTCTGTTTCCCCTCTAAATAACCTCCTGTCTTACACTTGGTTTCTGGGGGCCTGTGGCGCATCGGCAGCGCACCCGCGATCCCACCAGCGTCCCCATGCGTGTTGCCAACGCGACCCTCAAACGACATGGCCGGGCTTCAAATCCCAAAGAGAAAACGCGAACACATCTTCAAGAACACACATCCTGGCAAGCGACCAACTGAGCATCCAGCCTTAGGATGACTTCCCAAAAAAAACCTCGACGAGGCGACTGATGCGAAGCCTTCACGAAGATGGCCGAGATCACGCGAATTACCGCGAAGACGATCACCTCATCCAATGTCCACTTGGATGGTCTGGGAGTTAGCTACGTGGCTAGCAACCCGGTTTATGACCCATGGGGCGACTTGCAACCATGGTAATCAAGTGGTTTGCAACCATGGTTCCGAGCTGCTTAGCCAAGTCACGCCACAATACACTGCTGCTTTTTGAGGGTGTCAACTCTTGAGGAAAAAAGGTGGTATAGACTTGGGACATATGGAGAATTCTCGTGAGGAAGGTTCATGGGACTTTGCCTTCCTAGGGTTTCCCCTTACATGGCTCCAAGAATTTGCAATCAAAGTCACCCTTGAGTAGTAGTCTCTGATTTTGATAGCCAGAGGAAGAGAAAATATTGACCCTGCCACATCTTCAATGTGAGCAAGCTGGTCAGTAGTTAGCCCCAGATCATAAAAGAAAAGTGAGCAACCAACAGATACCGCAACCAAGTGGGTACAGTTAGCAAACATTTTGAGACGTCAACCCGGAAATGGGTGGGCCGCAAGTCGTTGAAGCATGGGTTCAATACCACTTAGATCCGGGGCATGCACTACATCACAGGCTTACATTGGTGGTAAATGTGCTATGTGGTGCTTTGGAGAAGCCCCTTTTTGCAAGTTTTAAAGTGGGTGCGTCTGTGTTTGGAGGCAAAAAACAAGGTCACGCCGCCACAAACGGCACGGAGGAACTCACAAGCCTGGCAAACACCCAATCAGGATTTCTGAACATGAAATAACTATGGCATTGCTTCCTACAAGCAATCACGCGTGTTGTGCCGCCATTGGTGTTTATGCGAGTATTGCCACCGCTCGGGATTCAGCCCGCCCTTCTTCTTAGCGTGACACAAGGTGGCAGCCACCTCTGCACGTCTTTCCAACCTTTCAAAGATCCGGAAGCAAGAGAACGTTCTTGGCAAACTGCAGCAACTATGGCTCAGAGAACTGAAGTGTACGTCATAGTCTTGGAGCCTTCGGCGGCCCAGTCGTAATTAGCAAGGTTCGATGACACACGCTAGGGAATATAAAGTCCAAATTCGGCCTGCGTGATACCGTGTCCGGGACTAAACTTGTGACTAAACCACATAACAGCAGGCATCCGAGCAACTTGTGCCCCGTACGTTATTACCCCCACCCCACCCCATCAAGGCGTCGGTCAGAATAGCGGGAAAGGCGGTGGGACGTATAAAAATGTGCGAAATGCTCCACGCCGTTACTGGCTGCGTGAGCAAAAACAAAAACGGTTTGCTTGGTGTTCAGGGGAAAACCCAGAGGAAAACCATCTTATTTGTTTGGGGTTCCCATATTTTAAGACAAACCCGAGCAGACATCTCACAGCTCAGGGGTGTCGACCGTCTCCATGGCTCCCATGCGGATGGCGCGATTTGGGATCAAAACTTGGCTGGTTTGTCGGGAATCCCAACCCAGCGCTTCCAGTTACCACTATAACCCAAACCCCTGTGGCCCTGGGAAAAACAGAAAGGATACTCTCTTTTCGTAGCTGGTTTTCAAGGCAAGGTCTTGAGCAAAATAAGGAAAAAAGGGCCCCACTGGAGGTGTGGAAGAATCTGTTATACTAGGTAAACAGAGTTGCTTGCCTCTACGTTTTACATGATGGCTTTTCCTGGTTCAGTAGAACGGCTTGCCTGGAAGCACTCGGAAACCATTGAAAATGTTCTAAAGACATCATGAGGGCAAAGACCAATTCAATTCAGCAGACCCTTCCGAATCGAGGGGTGGCCTGGAGAATCCTTGTAGGGTCTTGTTTCAGTTGGGGGGGGGGAGGCGATCGGGAGGGGGGCGGGGGTTGTGGCCGAATAGGGGTGCGTGTGGGGCAGGTTGTGCGGGGGGGGGGGGGGGGTACTGATCCATTGCAAGCGTTGCTTCGAGCAGCCGTGATGTAGAGAAGGTAGAAGATGCAGTACAGCTGACTCACGTTCTCCAGCACCGGCCGCGCATAGTTGGGCCAGTTTCCTGCAGCTCCAGGCGAGTCACTTTGGTGGGTAGGTAATCAGGGTTTTATACACTAACGTTCTACATGATTGCATTGGTTACCTGCTATAGTAGTAGCTGCAAGCAGTGGGAAAGGCTGAATGCAATCGGCCGCAAAAGGCAGAACTTTGTGTTTAGTGCAAACCCAAAACGGGACAATAGAGTCTCATTACTCTCAAACCGAGGTAAGGGTGTTGATTAGCCTGAATTAAGGGCTCGGCCCCTTTAGAGCCCCAAATGGACATTCACAAACCTAAAATGGGTGTGGCTCAAAATTAGGGGCACCTCTAAGTGATGTTGATCTCTTTCCTCTTTCAAACCATCCCCATGGGCTTTCGCGCGTCTGCCCGCAGATCAGTGAGCTCGGTGATCGGCGAGTCATTTTCCCCACAGCTTGTGGTATGAGCCAGAAGCCACGAGTCAAATATAACATGTCCAAATGGACCATAGACTGGAAATCTTGAGTGAAGTCCCGTGCGAGCCAGTCGAAATATGTGTCTCAAATTTAGGGGCCCTCTAGTGTGTTTGGTCTCTGCTGGCTTCTCTTTACCATCCAGAAGGAGGTGCCTTTGAGAGGTCAGAAGGGCGCGAATTTTGATGAGTCCCGGGTCCTTTGCTGGACATCACAAATCGGTGCAGATTCGCCACCACTTGTGAGGCGGTCCCAGCTCTTAAAAGTCAAATCACCATAGTGCCACGGTCAAAATGGGCCATGGTCATGGCTCCCTTCACAGAAACCCTTATGTTGGTCTAAATCCCTAAAGGGTCCATGACCATCCCTGACAACTCCAGAAGGGGTGTTTCGACCATGGCACAAATGCCTTTGGTCCGGCAACACGGGCTCCTTCCTATGTCCTGAACCCCTGGGCCAAGGACTTCAGGGTTTAGGGCGTTGGTATTGAGGCCAGGGCTAGATCTAGAGGTCCATGGCTCCATCCCAAGTAACCATCAAGGGAGTTTGACCGAGTGTTGACCCTGACAGCGTGGGATGTCGTCCAGGCACCTTTGAGGCTGTTTGATAAATTTGGAACCCCTCTCAGGGTTCCCTACATCCCTACATTTACCCCCCAAAAAAAAGGGAAACTCATGGGCCAAAAAGGCGGATGTTTGGAACCAGATGCCGAGGGAAAGGCATGGACCCTCTAATTGTTTCCCCCCTTGTTAAAGTCCAAGGTGCCCCGTTCAAACACATGGATGTGTCATTTGTTTGGGGGTACCCTTTAGTTTGAAGAGAAACCAACGGACCCCTCCCCCCGCCCAAAGAAAAACACGTTTCAAATTCGTGATAAACACCACTCCTGTGTTTCAAATGAGGCCTCTTGGTCCCTCCCGCAGCCCGAGTCTGCCAGTCCTGCGAAGGTCATCTCGTACCTTGGTTTCGCTCCGTGCATCCCATGCTAAAAGTTTGATTTTGGGTGGGAGAGCGTCAACTTTTAGAGACAAGAGAGATGTCACAAATCCAACTCTCTTCCACTCTGACAAATCAAAAAATATGAAGATATGATTGTAATGGACTTTTGTGTTTTTTTGGCTGTTTGCCGTTTCAGGTTGTGATGTGTCGACCTGCAGGGGCGGAGTGGGAAGGGGGGGGGTCATTATGAAAGGTTTGCACGCACACGAGCACACATGCCAGCGCACACAGGTTGATGATGCATGGCTAATGTTGGTTGTAAATGCTGGCAACAAGCGTCTGGAGAGCCACCATGTCAATCACAGCAAACATGATTTTGCGAGAAGAGTCTCTTTGACGAGGGGAGCGCGCAAACAACTCACGTGCTTCATCAATGTATAGACAGACGGTGGCAATCAGTGCAAGACTATATACGAACTCAGCTTCCCTCCAACTTGTTTTAGCTTCGTTTGGAGGTATCGGCTTCCCATTGAGAAGGGTTTCTGCCATGTGTTGGCTGCAGTTTGTTGATTCAGATTTTCGAGCAAATGAACTGCAACTATGCAAAAAAACATTGGGTGTTTGACCATTTATGCATACCAGCAATGCTGTCCTAGTTCTCCCGTTCACTGCCAAGCATGAGCCAGAGACGACAAATTGCAGAAAAGCCAGGGGAAAAACACGTGTGACGCAGCTTTCGCCTCCTCCAGGTCTTTTACCAGCCTGAGACCTTTTTGCACACCCCCAAAATGGTTAGCTTCCCTCTGGTTTCCCTTTAACTACCGTGCAAAAGGAGGTCCACCGTTTTTGAAACACCCCCCTTTAGCTCGGAGCCCGAGGTACATTGTATAGATGGCCCGGTAGGAAGTGCCGTAGTGCATCCAGATCCACAACCGGCTGTCGGCATCCTGGACGTGCCGCGAGCATAGCAAGCATATGACTATGGGTCAAATCCCGGTTATCCCCCAGTGAACATCCCAATCCCCACTAAAATAGGTTCTAAAATGGGTGAATCCCCTACCAACCAAAATGGTACCATTGGGATTGACCCACAGCCATATCAAGATTAGAAAGTACCCGAAATGGGTCGCCCTGGTCAATGGAGCCAAGGACTAAAACCTGCGGTGGTCTGGTGGTTCAATTTTGACCCGCACCCAAAGCGAAACCGAAAGGATACCTCCACACCGACCGGAGAAGGAGGGAATGTACACCCAGGATACTTCACCCAAGCTAACTAGTTTCCAAGGAGTGTCACTAGTTCCTACCGTGGATGGACGAAATCCTGCACCACTTGCGATGGATGAAGCCCCCTTATATGCGATAAGCCACTAGCAGAATCAAATGTGCTGTTCAGAAGGCAGTCCCCACTGGCATCAGCCCCAGAAAAAAATGCCCCCGCAAGAGGATGTGAGAAACAAAGTGTCCCTCCTGTTGCACCCCCAAGCCCAGAATAGTCCATGGATGTCCATAGTCTACCACCAAGCTTGTCAGTTGCTCCCATGCAAATGCTGGGGGCTTGAACATGAACAAACCATGATGGGAGTGCGGGATACGGCACATGAGCAAAGAGTTCATTCCACATGAGGGCCTGTCTTCTTGCAAGACTTGTCGTGATACCAAACACTTTTCTTTAAACCATGATACTTGCGCAAACCCACAGGGGGAATCAAACCCAGCTCCTAGCTCCTGGGTGTCCTTTGTGGAGGGCATTTTACAAGAAACTAAGGAATCATTTTGGAGGTTCCCCAGTGAACATCAGAAATTGTGGTCTGTTTCTAGAAGGAAACCTCCACAGGTAAAAGGGGATGCGTGCAGGTCTGGGTAGGCCGGGTAGGTAATATTTGGAGAACTGTCCTGGGTCTCATCCACGATGTACTCCTGCATCAAGTTCCCCATAGCCAGACCTCGCGGACCCAAAGCGTATTGAAAGCAAAGGGGGTAGAGCAACGCGCACAATGAAACACATCTGATTGAAATCTCCTAACATGGTGAGCTTTTCGTATCACTTGGGTCCTAATTATTTCGGACCTCCCTTGGGTTCATGGATTAAATGAGGGCAAGAAAAAAGGTACCCGGATGGTAGACGACCCTGGCGTTTTCGACATGCGGGGCGGAGGTTGGGGAGAGGCGTTCACTTCCACCCCACCCCAAACCTGCCGCTGCGTCCTTGCCTTCGCAAGCGCAACGCCCCTTACCTCTGAGTGCGCATGCGGGCATCTTCAAGCCCTTGGCTACAATCCGGCGAGTGTCGGGCTCCGTTCTGGCGCAGTGTGCCTCTGGCCATGAAAATACGAGAAGCCTCGCGAAGCTGATCGTCAGTCGGGTGAGCGAGCACGCAGGTCAGCTAAGAGACTTTTGAACAAACTCTCTGTCCTGGTGAACGACAAGTTCTCATTGGAGGTGTTTCTGAAGGACATGCTGGCCAGGCCTGGACATGCCAGACAGACAGACAGACAGACAGACGGACGGACGGACAGACAGACAGACAGACAGACAGACAGACGGACAGACGCGTTAACGATTGGAAGGGTCTTGTGCCTGATATGTGCTTGTTTGTGCTGTTGTCTCCCAAAAAGGTTGTCAAAAAGCAAAATAAATTGGGAATCGTCGCGGAAACCAATCATTTTGAGCACGGCCAGAACAAAGGATCGAGGCGGAGCTTCTATTTGGGTGTCTTTTGGTTTCCTGTTGGATGCCTTTAAATCCACTCCGGAAAGAGGTGCCAACCCAAGACGACCCACCCCCACGTCTGCCCCTTGTGGGGCTAGTCAGGTTGATGTTCGGAGCCACCTGAGTCTTGGAACATCAACAATCATTTTTGTGTCCTACCCATTTCACTTCGCTCCCATATGTCGTTTTTTTCTTGGTTGCCGTTTACACCGAGCCTTTAAAAGAAACGCGTGTTGCCTCGTTCCGAACCCAGGAAAAACGGGGCACCGAGAAACGCGCCTGCGCGGCCGCCCGTTTTCGGTTTCGGGCGCGCGTGCCAAGCGCAAAAACCGAGGCGCCGGAGCAGATCATGCAGAGGCCCAGCATGGCCATGGCCCAGCCCAGGGACGGCAGGAAGGAGAAGCAGGCGTGCACCAAGAGACGCAGGCCTCCCACTTTTTGGGTCGATTGGACTTCGTTTGGACCTCCAAACGGAGGTCCGAAGAAAATGAAGTAGCTGTTTTTTCTTTCAAGCAGGGAACAAGCAGCCACCCGGTGGGTAGGGTTACGGTTATTACCTTTTGAGATGACTAAAAATTGACGGGAACCGTCCAAAAGATTGAACAGGTCGTTTTTTTCCACAAATCCCTTTGAACATCACCAAACAAAACAGACGAACGCGGAAGTCTAAACCCCTCCTACTTGCCGGCCTCTTTCTGGCTAACCTTCTTATTGGAGGGCCGAAGCCAAAGGACCCATCCTTGGCGGCCCGCCGCGGGGCATCGCGGGTGGGTTTGCTGCATGGTCGGCGCTCCTCTCAGAACATCCACTTTATCAGGGTGCTTGAAACTGGATCGGCTTGCGGCCTCGCGGTTTCGGATCGGTCCGCGCTGTCAGGTGTCCCATGTTCCAACCCAAAAAAAACTACATTCTGAGTCCCAAGTCTAAGCACATTCTTGTTCCCAAGTCTATCCCGGCCCAAAAGGAAACTCAAGAGGGGGTGGATCATTTTGAGGCTTGTTCCAACCGCTTCTAACAGCCCCCGAAAGACGACCAAAAGGAAGCCCCGAACAAACAGCCTATGGGAAGATGTGTGTATGTAAGTTAAACTGGGGACCCAAAGAGTGGTTTTCCTTTTTGCTCACTCAGACCAGCCTCCAAAAAGGGTTCCTCAAAAACACACACCCAGTCCGACTAGGGTAGAGTCTGGCTCATTTGGTTTGGGTCCAACAAACCCTTACATTCGGGGTTGAATGGACCTGAGGCAAAAAGAAGGCGCACACGCGCTCTGCATTGGGGAACTTGGAGGTTCGTTGCTTCTGAATCCCTTGGCTAAGGTGCCCTGAATCCGGGATTCATATCTTTACTACCGCCATCTTAAAGCGTTGGCTCCCTTCTTTGGATGTCTACCAAGGCAAACCATGAGAGTTCAACGCCGCCCCGATGACTTTTGGTTCCGCACAGTTACAAGGTTTAAAAAGAGCTTTTACTCTGCAATTCATCCAGGTAGAACCATCTGCTCCACACATTCGCAAGCGAGATCGAACCCCCCCCCGAAGAGCGACCCCGAGCCCGAGTAGAACCGCCTACTAAAATGGCCCTTTGGGGGTTGTGGGCACCCCGATCACCTGGGTTGTTCAACAACGGGGGATCCCCAATCCTAGTCCGCCACAATGGAACACCACACAAGGGGAGGCACCACAATCTGGTTTTGGATCTCGCGCAGATTATTGTGAGCAACCCACTTCATGAAGGACCCTTTGTCAGTTAGGGGGCTCTTTTGATAACGTAGAAAGTGGCAACTCCACGCCATTTGTGCCACGTTCATGTCTGCCAAGGTCAAAATTCTGTATGTGGTTCCCTCATGGTTGTCTAAGATGTCTACTAAGGGGTTGACAGCCCCAAGAGGGGACATTAAGCTAGGAGGTTTTGGGCAAAAATCATTTTAAATCCTAAGGGAACCATGACCGTGCCTAGTAGTTTTGACTATGAGAGTGGAACTTTGCGTCAGCTCAACGGGCTTGGAAGACATTGTCTCCTTTCAGTTGTTCTGGCCACTTGGCAAATGAACTAATTGGGAAAGGCTTCTCAGCCAAATTCAGGCATGACCATGGGAAAATAATACACGTTGTGATTATGCAGCACCCTATATAAGCTCAACATGCTGGGACCCCCAGAATGGGTGGTTCCCTTTTGTCTTCCTTTGAAATCAATCAACCAAAAGGAGGTTTCTTTAAGCGTGCCCTTTCTTTTTCGTTTTAAAGGGAAAGCCCGAATTTTCCGGAGGGCTTACCCTAAAAGAACCGCACGCACCCCGTTCGCAGACTCTGGCCCTCCGCGCCTCGGAAGAGGCGCAGGGTCCGCATGATCCGCACCGTGCGCACCAGCTTGGCCACGCGCAGCAGCTTCAGCAAGCTCAGCGAGGCCTGCGACCCCAGCAGCGGCACCTCAGCGGCGCAAGGCGGAAGGAGCACGCGGCGCGCGGCGCAAAGGGCGCGCGCGGCACCCGAATCGCTCGAGCCGAGGTTCTTTTTTTCTTCGAGGTCTAGGGTCTACCCCAAGTAAGCCCTTGGTCAACCTTCAACCCTAGGCAAAGATGGTGCCAAATGTTGACCCGGAAAGTTGAGGACCTGCATAGGCTTTGGACCCAAGCTGCTTTTTCTATAAGGGTCTAGGGGTCCATGGTTAATTGATCGAAGTGGGGGGGGGGATTGGAGATGACGAAGGGGGTTCCTCCAAAAAACGTTGTATCCCATATCTCCAGGAGTTGGCTCGTGTTGATTTCTTTTCTCCCCTCATTCTTGTCAGAAACCAGGTGTTTAGTGGGAAAAACTGGGATCCTGGAAAGAATTGGGAAAGCACTTTTGAAGAACAGGACAGGGTGGTCTGAAAAACATCCAAAAAAGCAGAGCTGTGTTTCCGTCGCTGCCTGAGACATATTTTTGTCCAACCGGCGACCAAAAAGGGGAAAAGAACGTCACGCCTGCGCTGAGATGCCCCCCACCATGTTGCACGTTAAGCAACCACACTCAGCCACAAAACCAAGGTGAAGTACAGAAAAATAGGGTGTTCCTGATTTCTCTACCGCAACTGTTGAGGCATTCACCGTAGCTGACATGTTAAGAGGAACCTCCGTTCATAAATCGAGCGTGCCAAGCCAAAACCTCCCCCCGTCACCCGCTCGCCCACGTTTGCCCCTTTATCACCGCAGATAAACGGATGCCAAAATGCCAATCCATTCGAGGAATCTCCTTTAGGATCTCCTGTTCATCTCCAACAGTTTGGCAGACCCCGGCTAAAGACAAGAATCGCCCTGACGAGGACAAACTTGCGTCTAAAGGGCCGAGTGGACTTTGGGGTTGGTAAGTGCCTAAAATTATGCAGGTGATGGTTTGGGGGTACGAAACAAACTGGCACAGTGATGACTCCAACCCTAAACTTCTCTTCCCCTGGTTTCCTTCAATATTTTGGGGGAATCCGCGGGGGAGGGGATTTTGGGGGGGGGATTGCATTCCCATCAATGTTCCGCGAGCTGCTAGGAGGTACAGGTAAAAAGCCGAGTAGAAGGCCAGGAAGCCATCGAATATGTTCAACGGATCGCAGAAGTATCTGCACCGATCCAGGTAAACCTGCGCCACACCAATGCATGTGTGTGTGTGTGTGTGTGTGTGTGTGTGTGTGTGTGTGTGTGTGTGTGTGTGTGTGTGTGTGTGTGTGTGTGTGTGTGTGTGTGTGTGTGTGTGTGTGTGTGTGTGTGTGTGTGTGTGTGTGTGTGTGTGTGTGTGTGTGTGTGTGTGTGTGTGTGTGTGTGTGTGTGTGTGTGTGTGTGTGTGTGTGTGTGTGTGTGTGTGTGTGTGTGTGTGTGTGTGTGTGTGTGTGTGTGTGTGTGTGTGTGTGTGTGTGTGTGTGTGTGTGTGTGTGTGTGTGTGTGTGTGTGTGTGTGTGTGTGTGTGTGTGTGTGTGTGTGTGTGTGTGTGTGTGTGTGTGTGTGTGTGTGTGTGTGTGTTGCATGTGCGTTAGTGTGCGTGTTGTGTGTGTGTTGCGTGTGTTGTGTGTGTGTTGCGTGTGTGCGTGCGTTGCGTGTGTTGCGTGTGTTGCGTGTGCTGCGTGTGTTGCGTGTGTTGCGTGTGTTGCGTGTGGTGCCTGTGTTGCGTGTGTTGCGCGTGTTGCGTGCGTTGTTATGTTGCGTGTGTTGTGTGTGTGTGTGTTGCGTGTGTTGCGTGTGCTGCGTGTGCTGCGTGGTTGTGTGTGTGTGTGTGTGTTTGTTGTGTTGCGTGGTGCGTGTTGTGTCTTGTGTCTTGTGTTGTGTCTGTGTGCGTGCGTGTTGTGTGTTGTGTGTGTGTGTGTGTTGTGTTGTGTGTGTGTGTGGTGCGTGTCGTGTGTGTGTGCGCGCGCTTGTGTGGATTGTGTGTGTGTGTGTTGTGCGAATTGGGTGTGTGTGTGTGTGTGTTCTGTGTCGCTGTGTCTGTGTGTGTGGTGTGCGTGTGCCTGTGTGGTGTGTGGCTTTGTATGTGTGGGCGCAGGTGTGTAGGTGGGCGGGCGGGCGTGCACACGGGCGCGTACGCGCGGGCGTGCGGGCGTGCTTGCGGACAGGCGCGTGGGCGGGTGCGCGTGCGTGCGCCTACTTGCGCGTGCGTGCGCCTACTTGCGCGTGCGCCTGCGTGGGCGTGCGTGTGCGTGCTTGTGCGTGTTTGCGTGCGCTTGTGTGCATTTGCGTGCGTTTGCGTGCGTTTGCATGCTTTTGCGCGCGTTTGCATGCGGTTGCGTGCGGCTGCGTGCGTTGCGTGCGTTTGCGTGTGTTTGCGAGCGTTTGCGTGCGTTTACTTGTGCTTGCAGGTATTGAGCGCGGTTGCGTGCATGTTTGCGCGCGGTTGCGTGCGTTTGCTTGTGTTTGCGTGCGTTTGCGTGTGTTTGCGGGGGGGGTGCGTGTGTTTGCGTGTTTGTTTCCTCCTTTTTGCGGGCAATGGTCTGCGGTTCCTTGATAAAACATCCTTATCAAACATCCGCATAAATGAGTCCATGACCATCCCTGACCCCTTGTAAAAGAGTCTTATGAGCATGGCAGCTTTACTGGTTCGGAGCCGGCTCGCAAGGGAGCCATCGCAGCATAGCTACGGCCAAGGACCATCAAACGAATTTCTCATGGCTCCCCTCCGCCAGTTGTATCAGTATTGACAAAACTGGGACAATGGGGTGAGCGAAGAAAAGTTGGTTGGACGCCCGGGAGGAAATTCATATGTTTTATCTATGTACATGTGTATGCCAACAAAAAAAGATACGAGGTGGTGAACATTCCTTATATGAGGCATAGTCATGGTACATTTAATGGTGTTATTGCAGTTGTTCAACGCAATGAGCATCCTACCATGGCATATATGCAATCCTATCTGCGGTTTTGGGCGAACACGAAGTAGCCCAGGGAATCAAAGAGGTACACGTGGTTCACGAAGTACCAAAAGAACCCAGTCCCAATGCACAATGTAGAAGGTGCCGGTGACCAGATTGTGGGAGTGACAGTTAATGAAGATCAAGTTTGGGGAGGTTGGGAAATAGGTTGAAGAAGGGAAGTTTGTGTCCAAGCCCAGGACGATCACGCAGAGATCCTCCGCCCACCTCCCAGTGCCTAACCACGGCGACGTCAGGAGCCTTTTCCCGACGGCGAAGCAGTCAGCCGCACTATGGCTGGCGCAAAAAGAATCCGTGACCCCCCTGACGGGAGGGCAAAACTTGAGCCAAACGGCCATTCGGCCGTTTTGCCACATGATGAAACAACACGTGAACAAAACACACCCCCCTCATCCGATATCTGGACGAGAGAAAGGATGCGAGACAGTTGAGTTCACGACGAAAGGGACCAACCAAAAATGCCGGTGTCAACTCAGAGGTGAGCCAAACGGCATCACCTGGGCCCCAGTTAAAATCCCGCCACCACCCCGAATTATCGGGGCGACAGGATTATTTGACGAGTGGACCACATGAGTGAACAAAGACATATTGGAGGAACCAGACGAAGATTCCTCTCGTGCCGTTCATGCGTTGTCATGGGACGACACCATGCGGAGGGGGACCCTATCTGGATCACCGCGCCTCACTGCACGCCGTGGAGTGGTTGGAAGAGTAGTCGAGTTGGGAGGAAATTAGAAACGGAAGTTCCGAAATTGGTGTGAAAATATCCGGCTACGGCCGGCCCGGCACTTCTAGTGCGGTCACAGCCTCACACAGGATCGCCAGGGGAACCGTCTCCGGCGCGCACGGCAGCGGTGCGGGAGGGACACGAGCAACGCCGGATCAGCGGTACAGGGCAATGGAGACCATCACCCCCAGCAGCGCCGCATGGGCGAGAGGAGGACCGGCGCGGTCGCGTTTTTCGGCGACACACGTACTATCCTCGCCCTTCTAAGGCGGATGCTGATTGCGGTGCCCGCCTACCACCCTGAACCAGGTTCTTCCCGGTCCCTGGGCACGTCGTCTCTCCGGCGTCCACCACGGTCACCCCGATCACCTCCTCCATCCCGACGGCGATCCTCACCACCACCCCTATTGTGGTCACCAGCCGGAGGTCGGCGAGGCGGAGGGGGATCCGATTGGTGACGTCGGTCATCCCTGCGCCGGTCCCGGTGGCGATCGCGACGGTCATCACCCGGGTCATCACGTCCGCGGCACTCATCTCGCCCCGGACCGCGCCTCTCGGAGGTCTCCTCATGACGTGGAGGAGGTCGGCGATCATCGCGTCGGCCTCCGCGGGTATCCCTGCCACGATCATCCCTTTGTCGGGGCGGGCCAGGATCCTCGCGTCCACCTTTGCCAGGTCGATGTTTTCCTCGACCCTTCCCCTCACCCTTAGGACCGCGACGATCCTCGCGGGCCCCAAGCGCGGTCCTCGACCGATCGTCATCTCGGCGGGGCCGCGACTCATTTGCCGCACGAGTGGTCCGAGGCACACCCGGGGGAAGCTCCCACTCGTCGTTGTCGTCATCGCGCGGGTCATAGCCGCCATGGCCGCCCAAGGAACCGGTGGCATCCCGTGGTGGGGACGCAGGAGTTCCGGGACCGCCCGATCGAAGACGAACTCGGGGAGTCGCGTCCTCGCCGGTAAAAGGATCCTTCTGGGTGTAGAAACCCTTGGTCCTGCCCCTTCTCTCCCCACCTTCCACACCGCTTCTCGCGGGGACCGGGGATGGACGGGCAGGCTGGGCCATGCTCTTAGAGCTGGGTTGCCCGCTAGGCGGGACCTGAACGCCCCCCTGCCCTTTTTCGGGCGCGGGGACCCGACCACGAGATGTCCTCCTGGCCTTGGGTTGGTCGGACTCACCCTCCAGCTCGGACTCGGTGTCAGGGACACGAGTATTGATGGCCATGTCCTCTTCCTCAAACGGATCCCCAGTCGTTGTAACGCCTGCCGCAATGGGAGCGGGAGGAGGAGGAGGAGGAGTTGGCACAGCATCGCCAGAACTGACGCCTGCATGCGACACCACGGGAGTCTCCGGTTCTACCGGGACAGGCGGCGCAGGAGGAGCCGGGGGCGGTGGCGGAGGGGGAGGGATCTCCTCCTCGTCGTCGCCCATGGGCTCGTCAAGGTCGTCAGGCTTCTCGTCATCTTCGTGCGAAGAACCATCCGATCCCAGCTCATCCTCCGCTGATCCAGCAAAGTCGGGCTCGTCTTCGTCCTTCACGCCGGGGCCTGGTGTAAGGCGAATTCCGGGTCGATGGCGATCGCGGGGTCGGAAGCGGTATTTCCTTGGTACAGGGTCGGACAGCTCCTGTTTGATGTCATCCTGGGTTTGAGGACGGTCGGCCAAGCAGGTGTCGTAGGCAACGGTGGACGTCCGGTAGATCAGATCGTCCATACTGCTGAGGTCGTTGAGGGTGTAGACGTACCCCTTCTTAATGCCTTCCCGTATCGTGTCCATAGCCCGTTTGAGGCGCGCGGCAGGATCGAACCCGGCCTTTCTCCGCATGGCCTGCAATATCCCGCAGTGCTGTGCGAGCAGCCCCACCTGGAACTTGAACCCCTCCCCGGACACATCGTTGGGGAGTATCGGAGAAAGGTGTCCTGTTCTCAGCCCAATGATATGGGCCTCAAGAATGTAGTAGGACGTGTAAAAGCCGCACCGGTTGGCGTTGAAGTTTGCGGTGGTTAGGCGTCTGCCCCACTCAGCCGCATATCCCTCATATTCTTCGAAGAATTCGGGGACGGAGCTCCCGTTGAAGGCAAGACCCCTTACCAAGATCGCCTTTGCTACCCACTCTTCCACGTTGTGGTCGACCGTGTCACGGTATTTGCCGTCAAGGACTTCGTCTCGGAGCGAGTCGTGAAGTTTTCGGAAAATGCCATCCACGTCCTCTTTGTCAAGGTACTTAGGAGGCCGCATCCCAGACATCAACAAGGACCGGGCATCGACGGCGGGACTCTGCGAGTAGAGGGCCATTCCGATGGCGTTGGCGTCTGCGTTGTTCCACAGAGCGGGGACGAAGCCCTCGTATTTTGCCAGCCAGGGAGGAATCACCCCGTCGGTGCTCGCTATCGTGCGAGGGCCGCCGTTCGTGTCTCCGGTGGGCAGGACGCCCTCATAGAAGATGGGAAGGTAGCAGGCGGTGCACAGGTGAGCGCCGACCGGGTGGGCCGTCA